CCTGGACAAGCGAGGCGGGATTGCCTACCCCAGGAAAGAATCACACCCCTCTCCTCCTCCCCACCCCGCATTTCCCGCGCCTTCATGGATGGAAACGTAAACAATAACAGTGAAAATTTGTGTCACGTATGAATCGGCGTTTCTGCCAAATACCGATAATACCTACTCATATGATTGATAATCATAGGATTTTAATCAGAATTTAAGAGTGGACATCGCCGCTTTTCCATATTAATCGCAAGGTATAGTGTTTGATTGTTTCCGGCCCGGAATATTGAATTGTTCCATTCCGGTTATGGTTGTAGGAGGTTAGTGTTCTCCTGCAGCTCAATGTTATTTCCACGCACAATTAAGTTGTAAGTTATTTTTTGAGGCCGAGTAAATGATGCCCGTGATGTAAATAACTTGGCTCACTGTCAGCTTTGTTGAAAAGGTGTGAATGGGTAGACTCCTCCAATCCATGCAGTATGTTAGAGACTGTTGTAGGTCACTTATTAGGCAAATGGGTGAACTGCCAGTCGTGTTTTATCACTTATCATTTTTTTTACTCTATATGATTCTAGTGGAACAGAAAACTTTATTACTTTCTGGTTGGGGTGCAAACCGAGTGGTACTATTTGCGTAATCCCCCAATCAATCAATGTGCGTTGCAGATAATTTGCAGCTGCCCCTTCGTACTTGATGCTTATAAATTATATGTAATTGATAGTAGATGAGCGCTAAAAGTACTGTTTAATATGATTGCAGGAACTCGGCCCAGAAATGTTCTTGACATATGACCAAGAGAAGTCATTTTACCCAAAAGAATAGGTGAGTTGACATGACAGTAACGGACAACGCTGGTCCAGTTTGTCTCCACTATGAGGAGCTTCCTTTCGTGTGCATCAAAGGGTGGTTTTTGAGTTTTTTGTGGTGCCTTGGTTCTTTGTTGTTGATTTCAATCCTCCTCTGTCAAAATCCAGGCTGATTTGTTATCACTGAAAATGTCCGGAAAAATCTTGGCAATTTGGAAAATTGCTGGTATTGGTTTGGATTGGTGGGGCAGACTCCCTTTTCACATGCTCTGTCTAAATATCATGGTGCCGACCCACTACAGCAGAGTTCTTAGCCAGTGCGCCTTAGGTAGCCTACCCGCCCTTAGTTAGAGAGACCAGCTCTTATAAAACTCAGGTTTCTGGGGACAGGGGTGGTTTCTGACAGAAAAAAAGGTAGTTTTGTGGTGCCTGGTTCACTCCTGTCGACTCGAATACTCCTCCATCGAAATCCGGACCTATAGCCTTTGTAAATTTTGCCAAAAATGAGAAATTTGAAATCGCTGGAAATAGTTGGGATTGGTCAGACTGAATCCTTTTTCAATCTCTGAGTCGAAGTTTCACGCCGCCG